TGCCCGGGTCATACCCACAAGCCCTACTAAAAGAACCACAGACACCAGCCCTGGCACACAGGTCGGGATGAGTCGCTTGGCGGTGGCGGCAGGAGGGGGGGGGGGAATCAACACGCCCAGACCTGGTCAGAATAGCTATTTGTCTTCTCTTTAAAACATTTACCTGCCACTTTCCTACCCCAACAAGTGGCGAACACCGAAACATTTAGAACGGCATTTAAAATATTTAAATAGTTCAGTAACAAAAAACCAACAACAACAAAAACCCAATACAGACGTACAAACACACATAATAGCAGCACCAGGAAGGAGGCTGATAACTATTACTTAGGGTACACCAAAAGGAAAAAAGGGCTTCACCTGCAGGCCGAAGGCAATGACTGTCCGTGGAGGGGGAGTCCCACACAACTGAGAGGGCCCTTTCTCGAGTTGCCACCTGTCCCGTGTCACATGACAGGGTCAGGCAAAGCAGGGCCTCCCACTATGACTGGAGTGAGCGGGCAGGTTCGTATGGGAGAAGACCATCCTTCAGGGAAGCTGGTCCCAATCCTCTCCATGCCAGCACTCTGCACTGAGCCTGGAAGTAAACTGGGGGGCAGCGTAGATGGGGCAAGACCAGAGCAATGTGGTCTGCATGAGGCACTCCAGTCAACATCCTGGCCGTGGCATTCTGCACTGAACTCAGCTTAAATGCTTTAAGCCACTGTCTCATATTTTCTGTCTTCCCGATCTTAGTTGGGAGAACTAGAGATGTAAAATTTCCGGAAATTTTGAAGCTTGGAAAAAAACCCATTTTCCCCCAGGAAAAAATAGGAATTTTCAGAAAAATTGAAAAAAAAATTGCTGCATTAGCACTTATTTTTTCTTTTCCAGATTGAAAGTCATTCTGTTACTTTAGGAACATAAAATAGGACTATGGACATTTTTACTTGGCATGAAATCACCACACCTAGTGTATTAAAAATATAGTGTATCCAAACAATTATTACAAACAGAACACATGCAAAAACAAGACTGAAACCTTTTTCTTTTCTTGTGACAATAGCGCCTCCTAAACGCAAAAGTGCATCTTGTTCTTGCATTGGAGAGTTCAGTTTGTAACCTAGGACTTGCTTGTCCTCAGTGCACAGAAATTAGATCAGTCTGATACCATACATATTTTTTTAGAAATGATGTGGAAAATATTTGAACACCTTGTCTTAAAATATTTTATTCATCATGTTAAAATAAAATGTTCCATAATCAATTTTTTTCTTTCCTTTTTTCAATTTTTCTAGGAAACCCCCCCAAAAAAGGCTTCAGGAAAAAAATGGGGCGGGGGAAAATGTCCCCCCCCAATTTTTGGGTTTTTCCCCCGGGCCTGTCGCAAAGGAGGTTTCCCTCAACCAAAACCCCGGGAAAGATCTGAGGCGGGCTAAAAGAAGAGCAATACTGCAGATGCTCCTTGGGAGGGTGTGGCTGGTGGCACCGGGCTGGCGCCAGGTTTGCACAGGGTTTGATTCCGAGCATCATCAGTTATTTTTGCAGAGGGGGTGGGGCTTCCACTCCCAAAGCAAGCCACCCCCCCCGAAAACAACACATTTGACCCGGGCAGAGGAGAGGAAGCGCACAAAAGCATGCCGTGAGGTGCCAAAAAACAGAAGCGAAGGAATAAGAACCCAAACAAAAGTTGGCTGAAACAGGCCCCCTCCCTCGGCTTCTGCCCAAATCCAACCGCTGAGGAAAGCCCCTTGACCTCCCAGAGCTCTTCATCACTTCTCTTCCCACCTGGCCAACCTCCAGCTTCATAGCCTCTATTTCAAGTGCCCATTTACCCACCTAGCGTTTGGGTGGCTGGTTTTATCCTCAGGTCAATTTTATGCTCCACTCCTGCCTGAAATGAAGAAAGGTCACGTTATTTGCCACCCGTAGACCATGAAGGGAAAGGTGACGGGCGATTTTGGAAAGAGGCGCCCGACACAATGACGCCGTGCCGCCTTTCATCTTGCGGCCGCTGCGGGAATCTGGTTGATAGCCGGCTCTCTTTAAAGGACTTCGCCTGAGGACCTTTTTGTTTCGAGATGCTCTAAGCCAAGGTGTCCTCAAGTATTCGTAGCCATTAGCTTTGCCATCGCCTGCCTCTGGGTGGCGACCCTGGACTTCCTCGGTGGTCTCCCAGCCAAGGACTCACCAGGGCCACCCAGGTCAGGTATTCCTACATGACTAACAACCACCAGTAGAGCACACCGCAAGAAATAGCAAACGGCAAGAAAAGGCATGTTTGGTCCTGTTACATAGAAGCAGCCTTGAGAGGTGCTCACTAAAGCTTAGGAGACCTGGCCCATAGAGAAACTGAATACTATTGTCCTATAAGCAAATGGAATGAAGACGAAGAAGAGATTGGATTTATACCCCGCCCTTCACTACCCGAAGGTGTTTCAGAGCAGCTGACAAACTCCTTTCCCTTCCCCTCCCCACAACAGACACCCTGTGAGGTAGGCGGGGCTGAGAGAGCTCTTGACAGAAACAGCTCTTTTTCAAGGACAGCTCTTATCAGAACTATGGCTTGCCCAAGGTCATCCAGCCAGGTGCAAGTGGAGGAGTGGGGAATCAAACCTGATTCTCCCAGATCAGAGTCCGCACACTTAACCACTACACCAAACTGGCTCTCTTAGAAAAATAGAAAAGCAAGTAGAAAAGAACTGGTATCCTATTGAACGGAAAGGAGTATGAGAAGGAGGCTGGATTTATACCCCATGGCCCTTCACTACCCAAGGGAGTCTCAGAGCGGCTTACAAACTCCTTTCCCTTCCCCTCCCCACAACAGACACCCTCGGAGGTAGGTGGGGCTGGGAGAGCTCTTGACAGAAACGGCTCTATTTTGAGAGCAGCTTTTATCGGAACTGTGGCTTGCCCACGGTCATCCAGCCAGGTGCAAGTGGAGGAGTGGGGAATCAAACCCGGTCCTCCCAGATTAGAGCCTGCGCACTTCACCACGGCACCAAACTGGCTCTCTGAGACTTCCTATAGTTGTTCTTTGTTCCTGAGGAAGGACCAGAAGTCTGAAACACTGAATACTACCTAGGAAAAGTGTTGGATATCTACTCTGGACTTTGTCATTGCCTTTCATGGATCCTGTGGGCTTCTGTATTTTCCTATGATGGATTATATGTACAGATTCATTCTTGATTATACGTGCATTTCACTTTGTTGAAGTCTCCTTTTGGATATATATTTTTGTGGGTAATTCAGCTCACAGTTGTTTTCTGGGTTTTTTTTTTGCTACTCCTACATGACTGCCTCAGGGCCTCAGAACCCTCCAGAATGCGGACCCACTGAGGTGGATCCCATCTTACCGCCCCACTGAGTTTATTTCTTGAAATAGTTATAGTAGTAGTAGAAGAGGAGATTGGATTTATACCCCACCCTTCACTCGGAGTCTCAGAGCGGCTGACAATCTCCCTTCCTATCTCTCCCCACAACAGACACACCCTGCAAGGTAGGTGGAGCTGAGAGAGCTCTTTCCAGAACTGTCCTGGAGAGAAGAGCTCTGCCAGAACTATGGCTTGCCCAAGGGCATCCAGCAGGTGCAAGTGGAGGGGTGGAGAATCAAACCCGGTTCTCCCGGATTAGAGCCTGCGTACTTCACCACGACACTAAACGGGCTCTCATACCCTTCCCTGTCCTTTTGGCTCCAAGCTGAAGCCCAGCTCTGCCTTGACTGAGCAGTTCTTTGGTTGACAGGAGGCCTCCTTCCATGGGAGGAAGGGTCCCCAGGGGCTCCCCCCCCCCCCCCCCCGTGCCGACAGCACTGACAACAGGCACACCGGCAGCAATCTCACTCGAAAGGAAGGCCTGTTCGAGGCCGACTGTAACCCTATGGAAGGTGCCGCCACCCCCTTTCTGCCCCCCCCAGCTGCTCTGGGGGTCAGCTTAGAGAGCCACCCCCCCCAAACCCTCCACCACTTCTCGGATTTACCTCTTTCCACACTGGTTTCCCAACACGGGCAAAATCTTCATTGATATCACAAGCGACGACTCGGCCGTCTTCCGGCAAGACCAGGGCCATGCTTAAGGTGTTGTACCCGGTAAAGACACCTGTGAAAGACACCAAAGGAAGAGGGGGAGGGGGTCATCTGGGACATCACACCCCCTCGCCCAGAGCCAGCACACCTACGACCCAAAGGCCCTGGCGGCAGATCAGCGATCACCTCGGTAGGCTCAAGGAACCGTCTTCAAAAGGGGAGACGAGCACTGAAAATGATCTCCCGGGCTCACCTTCTATGGGCAGAACTAGAGAAGGTGCCGGGAGAGCCAGCCCTGGATCGATCTTTATTGTCAGATGCCGGAAACGGCTGGTGTGGAAGGAGGGGGGGGAAGGAGGCCCAGGTGGGGTTCCGGAAGTGACAAATGGGCGTTCGCCTCACATGGGGAACAGCAGGAGCTTCTGGGGACGGGATCCAGACGGGTGGCGAGCCAAACTGTTTCCACGTGGAGCTCACTGGCTGAGATGTGCCGCAGCCTCAGGGCCTCCCCTCCCCGTAAGCCGTTCAGACTGGTACGCCCCCCCGCCCCGTGGATTAAGGCCGGCAGTGCCATTATTGCTTATTTACAGCACTCTGGCCCTTGTGGAATCCAAACACGCTGAGCAATCTGATTGCAGCCAACATCTGCCGGAGCGGCAAGTCATCTCAGCTGGAGAGGCCGGGAGGAATCAAGGGGGAGGAATCGTGGAAGTAGAGATGTAAAATTCCCAGAAATTTTGAAGCTCGGGAAAAAACCAGAAGTTTTTGGAAAAATTGAAAAAAAAATGCTACATTAGCATTTCTTTTTTCTTTTCCAGATTGAAAGTCATTCTGTTACTTTAGGAACATAAAATATGACTGCGGACATTTTTACTTGGCATGAAATGATCACAACTGGCATATTAAAAATATTATCCGCTGTTATTTGTATTTGTTGATGTTACGTATTTGAAAAACTAATAAAATTATTTTTTAAAAAATAAAGTGTATCCAAACAATTATTACAAACAGAATACCCACCCACATGCAAAAACAAAACTGAAACCTTTTTCTTTTCTTGTGACAACAGCACCTCCTAAAGGCAGAAATGCATCTTGTTCTTGCATTGGAGAGTTCAGTTTGTAACCTAGGACTTGCTTGTCCTCCGTGCACAGAAATTAGATCAATCTGATACCATACGTATTTTTAAAAAATGATTTGGAAAATATCTGAACACCTTGTCTTAAAATATTTTACTCATCATGTTAAAATAAAACGTTCCATAGTCAATTTATTTTATTTTATTTTTTCAATTTTTCCAAAAAAGGCTTCAGGAAAAAAACGGAAAAAAACAGGTTTTTTCCCAACGAATTTTTCCGGGCCTTCACATCTCTACGTGGAATGCGATCGGCCCATTTCCCCAACGCGACTGGCCCAGCGATGCTCCATGCCCGGACATCTCTCTGTTTTAGTCCCCTCAGTCTTGTGCGTTCAGAAGCAATGGGAGTACCAAGGCAAAGGGTTGGATCCTGTGGACCCCTACCACTAACGGTGGTATCTTGCTGTGCCACAAGGCCTCTCCCATGAAGGGAAGGGGCCTCACGCCAGGCAAAGGCATCAGCAGTGGACAGCAGGTGCATGGGCCCCCACGGTACCCTCTGGACACAGGTTCTTCACATTCAGGGCTAATCTCTTCTCCGTCAACGCCATAGTGCATATAGTTCCTGTGCTATTCAGATTCAAATTTAGTTGAGCTATGGCTCAGTGGTAGAGCGTCTGCTTGGCATGCAGAAGGTCCCAGGTTCGATTCCTGGTATCTCCAGTTAAAAGGACCAGGCAGGAGGTGATGGGAAAGACCTCCGCCTCGGATCTTGGAGAGAGAGCTGCTCCCGGTCTGAGTAGACAAGACTGACCCTGCTGGACCAAGGGGGTCTTGGTTCAGCATCAGGCAGCTTCAGGTGTTTGTGTCTACCACAACCCAGAGTCTGAAAAGGGAAGTTTTGCAATGCCGCGCATCTGATTTCACTTCCTTGATATCCTGCCTTCCTCCCCAATGGGAGGTCCAAGCAGCTTAGGCTGTTCTTTTCTCCTCCGTTTTGTTCTCACAATAACCCTGTGAGGTAGGTTAGGCAGAGAGAGGGTGACTGGCCCAAGGTCACCCAGCCGGCTTCCGTGGCACGAGCAGAGATTCGAAGCTGGATCTCCCAGGGCCCAGTCTGGCACCCGGTCTGCCAAGCGCTGGGTAGGAACGGAGACCAGCAGTTCTCCTCAGTCCACCGGCTGGAAAATCTGTTCTCCTCTGCACACGAGACTCAGACCCCGGACCTGCTGGTCCTGCCACTCGCAGAAACCCCCCGAGCCTGCAAAGACTTACCGATTTCAAGCACTCGCTTTGCTTTGATCAGTCGGGCCAGGTTTGCCATAAGTTGGGCCTGATCAGAACACACCAACATCCCTTTCTGGGGAAGGTCTGACGTCAGCTGGAAAACAAGACGTCTGCGTTACACGTTTTGTAACAATGGCCCGTTAACTGCGACAACCCGGAACGGCGCCAGAGCCACGCTCCATGCAAGGGGGAAGGAGGAGAGCCGTGTCTGGAAAGCCACCGGAGACGTTCCTCACGTAAGCCTGATGCCACGTCTTCTTTGACTCTAGGCCTGGTTCTCGCGGAGGTGGTAAGCCCGTGGCTGGGCCCTCCCACCTCAAACTCCACGTTAGGAATCCCAGAGAACTGAACACTCCCTCGCCGGGGAGAAAAGACGCCTACAACCAGGGAGACCCTGCCATCTAGTTCAATAAGCACCCATTGTTTTTAATCCAGGAGCCTTTGGCCGCATCTCACCTGCAACTGCTGAGGGGGGAACAGCCCAAGCGAGGCTCCCCCTAAGCTGTGGAGTCTCGTGAGCAAAAATTCTGTCTTGTGAGCTACTGGCAGTAAAGTGGTGAGCAAGCGATTTGGCTGCTGCAGGTGTCAGTTTGCTCGGGAGCCGTCCCTTCCTGAGCTGGGACAAAGATGTGTGAGCCGGAGGGTAAAAAACTGTGAGCTGGCTCACACTCACTCAGCTGAGAGGGACTACTGAGCCCAAGGGCAGATTGGGCATTTCTAGACTCCATAACACTCAGCCCTAAGAACGGTTTCCGATAAAGCCCTGTCGTGGCATGAGCAGGAAGACGACTTCCTTCCGCAGACTTCCTTTTTCAGCCAACATCTGACGTGCTCAAGACTTTGCCAGGACTGCCACTCCCCGAGTACTCGTTATTAACTTTATTTATGTCTTGCCGTTCTCCCCGACGGGCACCTAAAACAGCTTCCACCGTTCTCCTCTCCTCTGTTTCCCCCACACAAAAACCCCGTGAGGCAGGCCAGGCGGAGAGCACGTGACTGGCCAAAGGTCACCCAGCCGGCGTCCAGGGCAGGAGTGGGAATTTGAACCCGGCTCTCCCAGATCCTAGCCTAACACTTTAACCCCTACACCACACCGGTTCTAGTCCAACACTTGGCCTGTGTAGGCGTTTAGAGCAGCCCAAAGCCTATTCAGAGGGGCACAGATTGCCTTCCGTGTCCCTCCCCCAGTTCCCCACGGGTCTGGGGTCCAGCTCTGAGACGCCCACAGGGCCTCTTGGGGGAAGGAAGCGGGTGGCTCTCATCCTTGGCCCACACCAAGCCAGCTCTGCAGGAACGGGAGATGTCTCATCAAAGCAAAGGCCAGAAGTTCAACACTACAGCCCAAAAGACAGCCTTCGGGACAGCCTCCCAAACAGTGTTCCCTCTAAGCTGAGTGAGTGTGAGCTAGCTCACAGTTTTTTAGCCTCCAGCTCACACATTTCTGTCGTAGCTCAGGAAGGAGGGCTCCAGAGCAAACTAATTTATGCAGTAGCCAAATCGTTCGCTCAGTTTTCATGCCAGTAGCTCAAAAAGTAGAATTTTTGATCACAAGACTCTACAGCTTAGAGGGAACATTGCTCCCAAAGAGTTAAGATCTAGATCTTCCGTCCAATTAATGCCAAGCTCAGGGCTGGCTCTCCGGGCACAGTCTGACGCACGCTCGCCCGTTGAACCCAATGACCGCTGAGCAAACACGCAAACCGCATTACGCAATAGCAGGAGTTGGCGGGGCCACCTGCTGTCTTCAGGAATCTCGGGCCACCTTAACGCCCAACGTTATTCATTCCAGCAAAACTTATTTATCTTACTTCACTTATAGGCCTGCTTTTGCACTGAGACCCGAGGCAGATGACAATTTTTAAAAAGTTCAACCAAACACCAACGGCCTCCAATAAATCACGCAGGACTCAGATCATAGAGCGGGAAAGCGGTGCAGGCAGCAATGAAGATGAAAACTGCCTAGACGTGACATGCCATAACGTAGAAAGGGGGGTTACAAAGTTAGAATATGATGCAGTAAAACTGAAGCGATACACACTACCAAAATGGTAACAGCCCCCGCCGGCAGGGCTCTTTTTCTAGCAGGAACTCCTTTGCATATTAGACGACACACCCCTAATGTAGCCAGTCCTCCAAGAGCTTACAGAGCTCTTCTTACAGGGGCTACTGTATGCTCTTGGAGGACTGGCTACATTAGGGGTGTGTCGTCTAATATGCAAAGGAGTTCCTGCTACAAAAAGAGCCCTGCAAACAGATTACATTCCTGTTCCCTTATCAAAACTTCAGTGCTGATTCTGTGAATTTAGGCAGATCACGAGAGGGAGGGCGGGAAGGGATGCGCCAGTGCTTGGCTCCTGTGGCCCTTTCTTACATGCCCAGGGAAATGCCCGTCAACACTCTGGGGTCAGGAAGGAATTTCCCTCCCAACCAGATTGGCCCAGGGATCCTGAAGGGTTTTTGCCTCCCTCTGGGCTCGGAGGGTGGGAGGTAGCGGTGGATTTCCTACATTGTGCAGGAGGCTGGGCTAGATGATCCTTGGGGACCCTTCCAGCTCTTACGTTTCCTGCTTGCTCTGTTATGCTACAGTTCTGATCCATTTACAAAAACGCTCTCCTGACAGGGTTGTCAGCTCGACGTTGGGAAATTTCTGGCGATCTGGAGGGTGGAGTCCTCCAGTTTGGGGTGAGAGACCTTAACGGGATATAATGCCACAGAATCTAGAAGAAGAAGAGAAGAAGAGATTGGATTTCTACCCAGCCCTTCACCACCCAAAGGTGTCTCAGAGCGGCTTACAATCTCCTTTCCCTTCCCCTCCCCACAACAGACACCCACCCTGCAGTGTTCCCTCTAAGCTGAGTTAGTGTGAGCTAGCTCACAGTTTTTTAGCCTCCGGCTCACACATTTTTGCCTTCGCTCAGGAAGGAGGGCTCCAGAGAAAACTAATTTATGCAGTAGCCAAATTGTTTGCTCACAACTTTAATGCCGGTAGCTCACAAAGTAGAATTTTTGCTCACAAGACTCCACAGCTTAGAGGGAACATTGCCACCCTGTGAGGTAGGCAGGGCTGAGAGAGCTCTTGACAGAAATTGCTATTTTTTCAAGAACAGCTCTTATCAGAGCTACGGCTTGCCCAAGGTCATCCAGCCAGGTGCAAGTGGAGGAGTGGGGAATCAAACCCGGTTCTCCCAGATTAGGGTCCGCACACTTTTAACCACAACACCAAACTGGCACTACACACCAAAGGAGGCCATTTTCTCCAGCGGACCTGATGTCTGTTGTCGGGAGATCAGTTGTAATTCTGGGAGAGCTCCAAGCCCCACACCTGGAGGTTGGCAACCCGAAACGCTTCTGTTTGGCACTGTGTGCAAAAGGACAGGCACGCAGAGGCTCTTCCTGACCTCCTTGGGCAGGCCGTTGCTGATCCTGCCCATTTTTTCGCTCGGATGAGAAGAGCCATCTTTGTGGGACACTGCAAGAGAGGCAATCCTGCAGTACTGAGCGCCAGTCTGTGCCGAAACACATCCCCGTCATCTTTCAGGCGCCACCAGCTTCCTGTTCTATTCCTCTAGAGCAAGGTCCCCAACTTCTACAAGCCTGTGGAGCACCTCTGGGATCCTGACACAGGCCGATGGGCACAAATACAATATGGCTGCCACCGAAGGCAGAGCGGGTCAGATGGAGGAAGTCCAAGTGTGGGGGAGGACGAGCACTGAGAAAGAGAAGTGGCCGGGGGAACGGCCACTGCCACGGAAATAGCAGTATTTTAATCTGCACGGCCCATCAGATCTCACAGGACCAATCAGCAGCCCAACTGGCCCCACCCACTTTTGAAAAACAGTTTGGGGGGGGAGCCACGGAAGGTGCCAGTGGTCATGACGCCCGTGGGCACCGTGTTGGGGACCCCTGATCTAGAATTAGAGGCAGCACAGAGGGAGCGAGGGAGGGAGGGAGAGGGAGGAGGAAATCTGGTTTCATAGCAGTGAATACCAAAACGGCCTCTGACAGCATTCGCCAAAAAAAAGAAGAAAAAAAAAGACCTGCCCCAAACCCATCCTACTAACCAATCTCAGCTTCTTCAGAGAAGGATGTTCCCGTAAGGAGTGGTCCAGGACGTACTGCTGCAGTGGGTTGTTCTTGCCTTTGCGGGTGTCCGAATCGACAGCCGAATGATATCTCCTGCCTTCCAAAAAAAGAAGCAAGCACGTAAGAGACAAGGACAATTCCCACCAGGGTAAAGGGCCCCTTCTCCAAGAACACTGCCTGGGTTTGGCATCCCAGGAAAGCTGGCCCGGCAGGCTGCTGTCTGGGAAGGACAGGGGGGTCAGGAGCAAACGGGGGGGGGGGGCAATCGGCCCAGGGTGCACACCCATCCCCGCCAGTGTTCCCTCTAAGCTGAGTGAGTGTGAGCCAGCTCACAGTTTTTTAGCCTCCAGCTCACAGATTTTGCCTTCGCTCAGGAAGGAGGGCTCCAGAGCAGACTGATTTATACAGCGGCCAAATTGCGTGCTCACCAGTTTAATGCCAGAAGCTCACAAAGTAGAACTATTGCTCACAAGACTCCACAGCTTAGAGGGAGCATCCCCTCCCCTCCCGATGGACACAGAGACACAAAAACTCTACTTGGTGAGCTGCTGGCAGCAAAGCTGTGAGCAAGCGGGCGACTCGGCTGCTGCATCAATCCGTTTGCTCCGGAGCCCTCCTTCCTGAGCCGAGGCTAAAATCTGTGAGCTGGAGGCTAAAGAACTGGGAGCTGGCTCACACCCACTCAGTTGAGAGGGAGCCGTGGCCACAAGGGGCCTGGGATGGAGGGCCAGCCTGCAGCGCCCCAGGGCCTGATCCTGTCCTTTTGAGCAATGCAAACCTGTGGGAAGCGGGGGGGGGGCGGGAGGTTGTTGGAAGCAGTGTTCCCTCTCAGCTGAGCTAGTGTGAGCCAGCTCACAGTTTCTTAGCCTCCAGCTCACCCATTTTTGGGATGTACTAAAAGGAAGGACAGGATTGCCCATTGGAAACAATGGGAGACGCTGGAAGA